AAAGGTACCGATGAAAAATAATTCTTTAAAGGTTACCACACAGAGATAAGGAGCTAAATCTCCATACAACACAACTTGATAGGAGGGAAATCCACAATAATCTAGTTCCTTTCTTTTTATTCTCCTCTTTTGAGAAAGGTTATTCCAAACATCAAGCACCACTGAGCTTTGTAGGCTCATCCTGCTGACTTATCCCTGTTAGAACAACCTAATTAGACGAAAGCTTATTTTGGAATTGTTTGTAATCAACTAGGGAAGGAGAATAAAAGCAGCCATATTATCTGAAATTTCAAGGTGTATGTTTCCCTATTAATGCTAATTACATTTATAAAATGGAAATTGTTTCCCTTTCCTGGTCTTGCTATACACAAATGTGAATGTGCCAGTTGCAATGCAAGGGCACACACAAACAGAAGCAAATAAACTAAAACAATTGGTTGTAAACATAATTTGTTGCATTCATCCAAGGGTGGAGAACCTGTGGCTCTCTAGGCGTTGCTGGTCTGCATTTTCCACCCTCCCTTACTATTGACCATGCTGGCTGGGGCTGATGAGAGTTGGCATCCAACAAGACTTGGGAAGACCACAGGTCTGCCACCACTGCATTAACCAATACTGGGAATACTGGAATATTGTGGTACAGTAATACTTTAAGGATAGTTGACACACAACCTTGGTGATTTTTGCAACTGTATATGATGCAATTTTGAAGATCTCAGACCCTGAGTCACAGCACATGGTGGCATGTTGCCTAGCACACCTGACCATTAGGTCCAATCAAGGCTGACTATGGGGTTGTGGCGCTCATCTCGCTTTATTGGCTGAGGGAGCCGGCGTACAGCTTCCAGGTCATATGGCCAGCATGACTAAGCCGCTTCTGGCAAACCAGAGCAGCGCACGGAAACACCGTTTACCTTCCCGCTGGAGCGGTACCTATTTAACTACTTGCACTTTGACGTGCTTTCGAACTGCTAGGTTGGCAGGAGCAGGCACCGAGCAATGGAAGCTCACCCCGTTGCGGGGATTCAAACCGCTGACCTTCTGATCGGCAAGTTCTAGGCTCTGTGGTTTAGCACACCAATTACTCGGGATAAATTGCAACAAAACATAGAGTCAATGCAGGTGATGAAGAAAGGTCTGTATTTACTACAATATCTAAAAAGTGGTAAGAGTTATGCATGCAACCACTTTGCAGACACCACCAGAAGTGCCAAGTTGCCCCTAAGATTCAGGGGGCCTGGCTTGCATCACCTGGCTTGCATGTCATTGGGGGAGGCCGAGCCCTCTGGAGGAGCCGGCCACTGAACCTGCAATGCACAATGCACACTAGGCCCCTCAACATTGAGAGGGCCCAGCCCCCTTCCAACAAATTTTGAGGAGGCTGACATGTCTTCAGCCCCCTGGATACCACCTTGCCTGAACCAGCAGCTTAATTGAATAGTTCACTTACATGACTGACCTTAAATGTGCAAATGGACTCGTGTCAGATGTAGGATAAGGCTGTTACCAGTTACCCTAAGTAGCGGAGGGTATACACCAAATATACATAGAGTGACTAACATCTAGTTGAACTGTATTAGAGAGCAGGTTTGATGCTGGGTGCCACAGAACAAGGCACATTAGCAATTTCAGGACCATGGATAGCTCCACATGAGCATCTTGCTCCAAGAAAGGTTGAGGCCAAACTGATCCCTTTTAAGCCTCTAAGCTACCTCTCCCAGGCTCTTCCCTCTTGTGACCCTTAAAGGATCAACCCTCTGACCTAAAGATGAGCACTTCTCCTCCTTTCCATTTTGGGCAGTGGTGAAGGTGGGGATGTCATTCAGCTGGACTTTCCAAAATGAGACAGCCCCTTCTGCTTTGCAGCTATAGGCAACTCTCTCTGTGTCATTAGAAGAAACTTCCCTAGTGGCTAATTGTTCTACATACATTTCACCAACAACTTGGCAACTTGAGTCTAACAAAGAAGTAATAAGGCTCTGTATAATTAAATAAATGTTCACAGAGTTGCTTTCATTTATGGTTACTATGGAAGGAACACATAATTGGCTCCGGGGGAACAAAAAGAGCATATTTCTTGCAAAGATCGCTGAAAAGGAATTGTCTCCGTTTCTTGTCTAAGCCATATCCCTGTACCTTTTTTTCATTAGAGTGAACTCCAATTTGCATTAGCCTTTCCTATGAAAACCCCTTTTGTTTTCTAGAAAGAGCCTTTGTTATAAAGGCAAGAAGAACATAAAGACAACTTAATTCCAGAATCCTGTGATGTATGTTGATACAATTTCTACTGCACGAACAAAGGGAGTGATATTTTTTTTAATTACAATCTCCCTAATAGGACATCTCCAATTATATGGTGAAGAACCCAGCTCAGTGGTAGAGGAGCTGCTTTGCATGCAGAAGGTCTCAGGTTGAATTTCTGGTTACTCCAGGTAAGGCTAGTAAAAATGTCCTGCTGAAATGCTGGAGAGCTGCTACCAGTCGGTGTAGACAAAACTGAGATAGATCAGGCCCAAGGGCCATGTTAATTTCTGGGCAACCTGTCAGTGGTGGACTGGGGCAAGTGAAAAAAAAAAGTGGGCAAAGCAACAGATACAGTACAGTAAGTACTTTGCACAGTAGGCTAGGTGTGCACTCACACACCCCATGAAGGCAAGCAACAGGCATTACAGAGTTCAAGGAACTATTCCAGCCAGGCAAAAGACTTGGGGTGTGAATCATGGCCATTGAGCAGGGTAGCCTGGCAAGCTGAGGGCCTGATGGAGAAACCTAGCAGCCACATTTGGTCCTAGATTCTTCATCCTTGGTCTAGATATGATGTGATTCAGTATAAGGCAACTTGTTATATTCTTAATTACCTGCAATGGCTTCAAGGTATATGGTTGTTGTTGTTGTTATCTGTCAGGCTTGAGGAATCCTCTCCCTCCCCCCGATGGCACCAAGAGGCAGGGAGGAAACAAGATAGTTATTACGTATGATTTATTCAGTTATCACAGTAAAATACAAAGAATGCCGGTCATTCCTCCATAATGGAGTTGCTCGCACTGAATTCCTCCTTCTTCCCTCTCTAGCAACAACACCTGCTTCTATAGCTGGGGTCAGCAAACATTTTCAGCAGGGAGGCGGTCCACTGTCCCTCAGACCTTGTGGGGGGCCGGACTATATTTTGGGGGAAAAAATGAACAAATTCCTATGCTCCACAAATAACCCAGAGATGCATTTTAAATAAAAGGACACATTCTACTCATGTAAAAACACACTGATTCGCGGGCCGTCCGCGGGCCGGATTTAGAAGGCGATTGGGCTGGATCCGGCCCCCGGGCCTTACTTTGCCTACCCATGTTCTATAGCATCTGTCTGTGGACAATTCTCTCTGCTTTTTGTTCTAACAACCTTAACAAATGCCGCGTTTTGAGAGAAGAGGGGTCAGGTATTCTGCGCAATGACTTGTTAGCTAGCTGCTCTATCTCCCCTCCTCCTAACACAGCATAACTCGGCTGTTCGCCTGTCTCTGAGCTGCTATCTTCCTCAAAGCCCTGCTGTAATTTGAGATTGCCTTCCTCCTCACTGTAAGCTACAGGAGAAGGGCGGGGAGACCTCCACCATTCCTTCTCTTCTTCGGTACACATTATTATCATGCTGCCCATCTGACTGGGTTACCCCAGCCACTCTAGTCAGCTTCCAGCATATATAAAAACATAATAAAACATTACACCTTAAAAACTTCCCGATACAGGGCTGCCTTCAGGTATCTTCTAAAGGTTGTAGTGTTACTTATCTCCTTGACATCTGATAAAAGGGTGTTCCATGGGGCGGGTGCCACTATCGAGAAGGCCCTCTGCTGGTTCCCTGTAACCTCCCTTCTTGCAGTGAGGGAATCGCCAGAAGGCCCTTGGAGCTGGACCTCAGTGTCTGAACGAGGGGGGTGGGGTGGAGATGCTCCTTCAGGTATACAGGTCAAAGTTCACCACAGCCTTCAATTCAGATGCCATCATTAGGTGCACAGTGATAAAACAACAACCTCTAAGTAGTTATTTATCTGAAAGATGGTGCTTCAACTCTGACAAAGTTGATGCTGAGCACATACGGCATTGGCTCTCTTTCAGGTATCGGATTGCTAGGCATTCATTCTGCATTTATTCTCAGTAGGATTTATTACTTGAGTCTGTAGTCTTTAAATTATCCCGTTGAACACTTGCATAAATAAAGACAGCACTGCAAATGTATCATTTCTTTTGGTGAAATCTACTGCATAAATTATCCCGAATGGCTATGTCATATATAAACTTAAAATGAATAATTTAATTGCAGATCTGTCGTGATGAGGATTGATATACCTTCCTACCTACAAAGAGGCTAAATTAAAAGCTGTAGTACCATAATGTTCAGTTGCATATGCTAGTGGTGGCTTGCTAGGTTATATCTATACCTATCAAAAGCTAAAGCAGGGTTGGGGAACCAGTGAGCCATCCAGATGGTGAACTCCAACTTCCATCAGTCTCATATAGAATGGCCAAAGGCCAAGGATGATGGACACTGTAGTCCAGCAACATCTAGAGGGCTGCAGGTCCCCCATCCCTGATCTAGAGAAGTAATGTATTCATCACAAATCAGATGTATATTTAGCAGAACATCTAGTATTTTCAACAGCCTCATACCATTTTGAATTGACTAGTAGGCTGCTGAATGATTTGCAGTAGATCAGCAATTGGCTCCCAGTTGCTTAGCACTAGCAATAAACTCCTCTTTTTTCCTTCTAAATTATGCTTCTAGATTTAGAATCCTAGATATGTAGTCGCTCAGGTGTCGGTTTGTATTGTGTGTTGGGTCATTCAAGCTGATGGGAGTGCAGTAGGTAATTTGCTCCACCCCTTCAATTATTTTTGCATCTGGTTCCACTCACTATTTTGTAACTCTTCAGTCAGTAGCCCTTAGGGTTTTAGTAAAACAACAAAGTAGGCCACACAAACCTGATGTCTGCCCATAACTTTATAAGGTAGGGCATGGTATCTAGCTTCATCTTTTAAAAAAATACAACAAAGGAAAAGCAATGACTAGAGCAATAGCAATAGCAATAAAATGTAAACATTCAAGTAGTCTCATATATTTTGAATACAACCTGGCACATGGATATATCTCAATAGCTAACATTTTGAGAGATAGGCTTGTCTGACAGCATTCTTGTCCATGTCTTTTTGATGGGCAGATGGAAGCATAGTTTGTTTACTGTATTAAAATTAAAACAGCTGCTTTATTGTTTTCTTAATAGCATGTAACTCTGGGATCAATAAAATTGAGGAAGGGCAGGCTAAACATCAAATCAACCAGCAACATGATTTAGCCCCAAATAAAGTGGTTATTTTTTTCCTTTCTGTTTTAAGGAGAGGAAGGTAATATTCATTAATATTCTAGGTCTTGCCTAGCCAGTCTTGTGGCATTCATATTAGGCTGCTTAGATCTTGACACGTCTACTGTCATTTCTTGGTTAATCTCAACTTCTTTTTGTAGCCTAGGGTTAAACTTCCATATTCGTGCAAAATAGATTATGAAGGTGATGGAGCTGTAAATTGTTTCCTCAGACTTTGCAGTTTCTGAGCTGAAAAACATAAAATAAAATTGAATGTATCCTGATACAAGCATGGTGTGTAACAACTCTGCATTGTATAGATGATGCACAGAGAAGCAAAAGATGATGAGTTTACACAAGATGAAAGCAAAGCTGGCAAATGAAACAAGGGGAAAGGACTTTGAAATATTTTTAAAAATGTAATGGTGGAATAGTGGGGATGGAAGCAAAGAAGGAATTACCAATAACAGACAAAACAACAACAACAACAACAACAACAAGAAGTATGTTTGTTATGTTTAGAAAGGGCTAGCCTGGCATTTTTATTCCTCAGCATTCCACACTAGTCTTGGAAGGCAGAAAAAGGTGGTCGATTTCTTTCCCATTCCTGGACAATTTTTAGTAGAGCTTAGATCTTCCTTTACTGAACTTATTTATTAAAAGGATTTATTAATCCTTTCAAGTCATTTTTGATATTCAGGGCAGCATGAAATTTCATTCATTTGTGGCTACAAATAATGGCTGATATGAGACCAGAAAGCTGAATAGTATGAACTAGTCATACAAAGCAATTTTTTAATCATTAATGTTTGCAGGTGTTGTAACTCAGTTTTATATTTTTGCATGGAGTATCCAAACTGATATATTGTTTGTCTCTATTATATATCGTGTGTACATTCAGAGATCACTGAAAAAGACCCTTGGTTGAAATGCATTTGCTTAATTGTATTGTTTTATTTGAACCCCCCCCCCCCTGAATATTTATTGGTTACATCACAACTGAGTTGTTGAGTTGGCATCCATCTATCTTGGGAGACAATGGAGGACTGCACCTTTGGGGGAGAGGGCAAGCTGTTGGAAGGTTTCAGCACCTGCTATGGCTGTAGAGACTGATGCAGGAGAGACATGTTTTGTTGCAGCTAGGGCAGATGAAGGCATCCAGTTGTGCTGCTGCAGATACACCGCCGTGTTTCTCCTCTGGTCACTGTTATGGATATATGACTTGACTGCCTGTCTCCAGGCACTGTGGTCATCTGTAAGGGTCTCACATGTCAGGGTTGCTGTTGCCAGACTTCATGTCATGTTTGCAGAGATCAATGTAAAATAGAGTTGGTCCGCCAGCTGGCCTGGTACACCATGTCACATTTAATTTATTTGTATTTATGATATAAGGTTGGTGTATATAACTGGTTTATACTGTTTTGTGGTTTTTTGATGTTCAGATCTCAATTTGCGTGCTGGTTTTCTACCTGTTGAATTGGGGCCACAATTTCCTCTTTGTTGGGTTTGATGTGAAACCAGCACCAAAACATCTCTTCTCTTCCTCAGTGAAGCAAAATGCACGAGGAGGTGTCAGTAGGATTTTTCCTGATTTTTCCTGTGTGGGAGCAATGTGGTAGAGTTGGAGTGGGGAGACTCATTTTGTCGGGGAGACATTAGGAGATGTGAGGCGTCACACATCTTTTCGTAGCATGTAGTTCTGCTTGCTGGTGTAAGTGTAAGTAATAATCTATGTGCAACGTTTCTCCTGCAACCAGCTTTCAAAAGGCACTTTAAAGTGTTTCTGAAAGTTCAGTGGGGGAAGCTGCAGTCCAGGGATTGTTGCCTAATTGTTTAAAAGGGTTTCTGGCTTTCAAAATCTTGCAATCACTTCAGCTTCTGGGTGTTCAGAGCAAAAGTAGAATAATAAGATCCTCATTCTCCCAAGTCTATACGTAATCACAAATCACACAGGGTGTTCTGAGAACAATAGAGTGTGTCTGGAGACTGTAATGGCCTGGATGAGGGCCAACAAAATGAAACTTAATCCAGACAAGATGGATGTAACCTCCAGATTAGATTACCATAATGTGCTCAACTTGGGGCTGCCATTAAAAGCAGGGGCCCAAGGTAGCACACATGGTTCTTCCTCCTCTCATGTTATCCTCACAACAACCCTGTGATGTAGGTTAGGCTGAAAGGCCACCCAGTGAGCTTCATGACTGAGTACAGATTGGAATCCTTATCTCCCTGGTTCTAATGAAAATAATATAACACTGCATTATATTGTGGGGAAATAACAGAATCGTAGAATCGTAAAACGTGTACCGGTATATTAGGCAAGATTGCATGCTATATATATATATATATATATATATATATATATATATATATATATATTATAAAATATGTTAGTCAATTACTGAGTGAGGCTTGTACCTCCACAGCTTGTGAAAGGGACAGAAGTCATGAAGATGTAAAAATCAGTTCCTCAGTCATCTCAAGGAGTAGTCAAGCAGACTCTCTGGCCCTGCTTTCTTGATCTGGAACGTGACCTCCAGTTAATCTTCAATTAAGTCCTCTGCCTCTGGCCTATTTAATCCTTATCTTTCTGTTGTGGGAGCTTATTACCAACACTCTTTTTTTTTAATAAAAAAAATGATTATTTTATTTTGACAAAGTAATAATCATACATAAACAAATATAACAATGTGCACCCTACCACCGAGACCATTCCATTTTAACTATCCAACCTCCCAAAATTTCAACACCTCTTGTGATGGTTTGGTCCCTTTCCATTTTAACAGTACAAATTCTACAAACACCATCCATATCTCCTCAAAATCATTTCTCCTGCATATTCCCCATCTTACATTAATGGCACATGTTAATTTATCATTAATAGCTATATCCCACACCTCTTTATACCATTCTTCTATTTTATATTCTGCTTGCCCCTTCCACTTCCTAGCTAGAATGACTTGTGCAGCTGTCAATAAATTTGTGAGCAAGTCCTTCATTGCCTGCATGCCTTCCACCCCATCATAAATTGATAATAATGCTACCTCTGGACTTTTGGTCAGCTTTAACTCAGTGATTTCTGTTATCTCCTTAAACACCCTTTGCCAGAGAATTTGTACATATTTACACCCCCATCACATGTGAACATAATTCTCGGTTTCCTGGCATCTTCTCCAACATAACAAAGAATATTCCTTGTTTATTTGATTTAATCTGACTGGTATTAAATGCCATCTCCAAATTAATTTATAATAATTTTCTTTTATTCTTATAGACAACATAGACAACAACACTCTTTTTGAGCATCTCATTGACTCAGGCCTTGTGGATGCTTGTTCAATTGCACCAGAGTTTGCCCAAGGCCCAAGACTACCTGTTTGTTTAGCTCTTCCTCAGACACCTGCTGTAGGCTCCTTCACCATGCAAGGTGTAGAGGAAGCTTACCTGGGGTAGGGCCTTTTATACAGTGCTACAGAAATTCTGAAATTCCCTCCTGTAGGAGGTTCATTCCATCCTTTTATTGTGGACCTTCTGGTGACAGGTCAAGATCATGCTGTTTATTTCTGGGGTCATTTGGAGCCCCCCCCCCCAGACAGATTTTCTTTTATTTAGTTGCTGGGCTGTCCCTTTCTCCCCTCAGCTGTTATTAGCTCAGCTACTTTTTTGATATTCTTTTTAGTTTGATGCTTTTAATTTTTTTTAATGTCTTGTTAGCTGCCTTGAAGGACCTTGGGCACAAAAGACGGGTGAAAAGTATTTTTAAAATAGATATATCTCTCCCATAGATTTAACAAAAATAAAGAAATCCTTGCTAATGAGCAGTGGCAAATCCTCATATTATAAGAAAATTAAATAAAGTGACACATTAAATTAGTTGTGTTTAATTAACGCAGCATAAAATGTTGCCCTTTTAATCACCAGCAACAGCATCATGTTGATTGGACCTGTAAACGATGGCTCTCAATTCAGTCTAAATGTATCATTTTTTAAAAAATTGCTTTTTTAAAAATGCAATCACATTCCATGGGCTCATCCCCTAGATGAAGATACTGACAAATGCAGTAAAGCCACTTCATTTAGAGAGAGGATTAATAACTTCAAAGTTGGAAGCAGAATGGAAGTGAAAGGTGAAACTCAATACAGTTGAAGGCTAATGGAAATGTTTCAATACTTTTAAGTACTAAGTTACTTAATACTTCATGTCTGGGTTTGTTTGGTTTTATTTATTTATTTTTTAAAAATGTATCTTAAACCCTAATTTATGCAGTCCCAGAATGGTAGTCCCTTTAGTCTGGCAGCTGCAACAAACGGAAAGCCATGAGGTATCTTAGACTAATAGATTTCTTGCAGGTTTAAGCTTTTTAGGGTCAGAAGCCACTTTGTTAGATGTGAAAGCAGGCATAATAGTGATCAGGAAAAGCACCAGTGTTTACAGAATAAGAAGCTACTGCTCTGATCCTAGCTGCTTTGGGATATTTTTCTCATTCATAGACTGAACACACAGATGTGAGGGGGAAATAAAAAGTAGAGTTATGCACAAATAGTCTCCCAAAATTCTCCATCCTAATTGTGGGCAGAAAAAATGCATCAGGGGCAGGGCCGGATTTAGATGAAGAGAGACCCTAGGCTACTCTACTTGTGAAGCCCCTCCCAATCCCCCACCCTCACAACTAGAAGAAAATGAAAGTGTGTTATAAACAAAATTGAGTGAAGCCAAGGATGATGATGGGTATTTAAAATTCTGCAATTCACAATTTCACCTCTAAAGGATATAAGATATTATTGTTAAATACCATGGTGATTTTTAAAAATGCATAAAATTAACACTGAAAAACTTTTGCGATAACGGAACTTTGTAAACCCTGGGCAGGCCGGGTCTTCCTGTTATATACTTGCTGGGACTGACAAGGGATTGACAAGGCATCTGACCCTCACCTGAATCTCATAGCTCTCCTGACGAGTCCTTTGGTCTGCAGCCACAGTGTGGAAATAAAGGGTGAGATTGACCTCCACATACCATGCACTCTACTATTCAAATTAAGCCCCAGTGTTTTTGTTACATTCCCCTTCTCACTTAAGTAATCAATTTTAATCTAGAATTTAAATTCTCAAAACTTTCTTATTTGTTAATTTGAGCAAGTAAACTACTGCTCTCACTTCATTACAAACAGTGTTTCTACCTGCAACACACTTGAGCAAACCTGCTCCTTTTCCTTTCACAGATATTTTGTTGCCATTTGCAACTGTGGTTGCCTCTGATTAGTTATCATTTAACTCTTGGGGGAAATAATTAGCATCACACGTCATGTGCATGGAAGTTGCCGAACCAATTAGCCAACTAGAAGGATTACTGTTAATAGCACCAGTTTTCCTAGAACTTGATATTGCTGGATAGTTTTGATGAACTGCAAAAGCATTTTTAGTTTGCTTTCTGTTACCACCCTGGAACTTTTCTTTATTAGTCCCACTTTGTTTTGTATGATTCCTTGCAAATGAAGGAAAACAACTTTTCTGCTTGTATATGTTGATAATATAATTTTGGTTACTGAGGACAAACAAGATTGTACAAAAACAAGATTGGGTACAGGCTTGGCCAGGACATAAGCGGCCTGACTGTGACAAAGGTGACCTGTGTGCTTGCTTGCTTAACAGCTGTTGGGAACTTCAAGGTCCCTGTTCTCCCTTCTTATGGTCTTTGTACTAGACCTGGAAACTCCAATAGACAGCATTCCATGTCAAGAAGGAGGGCAAGTGGGCACCATATCAAATGACAGGGCAGGAGCTACACGGAGCAGGGTCTTTTCACTGGTGGTGCCCATTGTATGCCTTGCTCTTCCCAGATCTGCTATATTTTGGCCTGCATTTTGGAGCTTTATAATTTAGGAAGACTAACGCTGATGTATGAGCAGATTTTATTTGCTGCTATTCTGGGCTTCTGGTGCACCAGGGTTACACCAACGTAATAGAGTTCGCTAGGATGCCAGAAGGGATACAATTTACGAGCTTTCTCCATTATCTGCACAGCAGGGGATGTTCAGTCAACAGTGGAAAGGCTGAGCTGAAGCATTCCCTGCTGGTTACCTGCTTGCAGCAATAGGGGTCGCTGTTTGGTAGCACCCAATTGGTTAGCTATCAGATTCTAGAGCTCCCTATTGGTGGCTCTTAGGTAATTCACAAAATACAGAGTCCATTCATAAAACACAGTGTTCATTCATAAAGCAATAACATAAATCTTCAATGCTACATATTGGGTGTATATTTCAGTGGTTGAACATTCAGGTTTATGGCCATGCTGTAGTGTAGTGCTTATGCGACTGTGAATAAAAGGTGGCTGGGCTCATTTTCTTGGGATTTGGGGTGGGGGAGAGGTAACAAAACTGATTTCCAATAAGTGTCCTCCCTTTATTTCCACAACAAGTCCTTGAGTCTGTACTCTGAATAGTGACACCAGGGACCTAGAAGGTGCAGGGTTTGTCAGTCCAACCCCTGCACAGTCTGATCAGGGCTGACCTTAAGGTAATTGAAGTAATTTGGCCAAATTGGGCTCCACGTGCTGCTCCTAAGGGGGCCTCGGCACCAGAGCAATCTAGATGGATTTTGTTTATATCTGTAAGATTTTGCAGACTTTGGCCGTGAACTGAGGCCCTACCCCCAAAAAACAAAAAACAAAAACCCCATTCAAGTTTCACCCCACTGCTTAAAATTGGGCCCCACTGGCTAGCACTAAGTCTCATAGCTGCTGGGCCTGAGTTGCCCTGCCCTTGCATGAAGTCTTGGGTTTACAATTTTGGGAGAGGGGAGGCTGCAGCACTGGGGAGAGGGCAGGCTGGTGAGGCCCCCTAGATTTAGAGGTCCTAGGCTTCAGCCTACTTAGCCTATACAGTAGTACCTCAGGTTAAGAATTTAATTCGTTCTGGAGGTCCATTCTTAACCTGAAACTGTTCTTAACCTGAGGTACCACTTTAGCTAATGGGGCCTCCCACTGCCACCGCACAATTTCTGTTCTCATCCTGAAGCAGAGTTCTTAACCCGAGGTACTATTTCTGGGTTAGCGGATTCTGTAACCTGAAGTGTCTGTAACCCGAGGTACCACTGTACATAAATCTGGCACTGATTAGGGAAGAGAACCATTTCATTCAAATTTATCTAGGGAAAGAGAAATCCTCCACCAATTAATTCCAGGGGGGTTGAGTTCACTATTAACGGTTGTAAACCAGCACAGTGTCTTTGTCCCCAACCCCCACAAAAAAGCTGGTGAACATCCTGTGACAAAGTGGCACTCTCTAACTCAGAAATTATTTCAGAACAATTTCCTTTGAGAAATTTCAATCCATCTCTCGCAAATGTTAGGTGTCTCTCACCTCTGTGTGTCCACCTAAAGGTCTGAAAGGAGCTTCGTGTGTCCACCTCTATGTATCCCATAATACTAACTGACTGCAGTTATCTCCAGATGCTAGTTATCTCCTGCCAAAGAGTCATTTATGGATACAGCAATCAAGAACACTCATTGGTATATCATGGTGTTTCTTCTTTCCGTACCCCTCCCAGCAGTCATTTCTCTTTTGGTCCCTGCTGTGAATACATAACCTGTCTCCAGGCTCTGCATTCATCTGTAAGGTTGATTGGGACTACCTGGCTTAAGGTGGGCAATAGCTGACCAGTGAGACACAGTGATCTCTCCTACCGACAAAGGCAACCTGTAGTGCTCATACCTTATGCCAATCAGGCTGAGTTTAATAACTCCTAACTGCTGCTTCCCACATTGTCTTTGCTGCATTAACAGCATGGAAGCAAACTCTCTGGAGTGCAAGCCTGGGCAGTGTGTAGAGAGGGCCTGGACTGCCCAGCAGTGGTGTAGCATTGGTTGCCAGGGCTCCGGGGAGGGTGTGGATTGGAAGGAGGGAAATGGACAGAGTATGCATACACATTCAGTTGCCTAATGGCATCCGCATCACCCAGGAGATCGCAGTTGCAGGGATAAGAAGAGTCATTCCATTGTCTAGAGCGGTCACTTTCTGGTTCACATGGGGAAGCCATTTTCGATGGAGCTAAGTGACGGAAGTATACAGCAGTATTGAGGCAACACAGGGTGTTTAGATTTTGTGCCCCTAACAATTTTGCACTCAGGGCAACTGCCTCTGTGCCTCCCTGCCTCTCACGCTACACCACTGCTGCCCAGACGTTACGACCCCACTCTTGGCCTTGTTGATATGGTCCTAAGGAAAGCAAAGCAGTACATTTGGCACCAACTTGGCTTCAGGAATTGCTGGAAAGAAGCGTACAAGATGCTATCCAACCACCTTAGGGATTCTACATGGTGTTTGCGTAGGGTTTACTTCTTAGCCCTTTCTTCTGAAGATATCCTGCAAGGAAGCGAGGATGGTTATCGTCTAATTTTTATCAGAGGGAATCTTTCATCTAGAGGCCTCGGAAGGTTTGATCTGAAGTCTCTTGCCATACAAGGTCTTCAGCAAGGCTTAAGGTGTTACTTTAATTGGATGTGTGGGGAAAGGGTTGATAATAACTCTTGCATTTATATTCTTAGGTAAGCTGGTTCTTCGTTCATACTAATGCATTTTGCAGATTTTCCTTTGATGAATTAGAGCACTTACTTTCATTTTCCAGAATTGGATGTAGAAGTAATATCTAGATATTATTTTATTTTGGAGCAGGACAGGAGCCTTATGATAAGGAGTCCAATGCGAGACACGGTAGTTCTCAAGAACATTATCAAGAGTATGGCAAAGAGCCATATTGTTAGTTTGTAGCACTCATCTTAGATGGCATGTAACTGTGTATAGGGAATACTGCAGACCTTGGAACTACAATAAACCCCATAGGCTTGCACTTTTTATGAACTTGAGATCCATCACTATGTCCTTTACTATCAGCTCAAGATGCCATTTCTCCTCAAGCACTACAGGAACACAGCTTTGCCACACTGCAGAAATGTCTCAGCCTTGGCAAATGTGTCTCTATTTATATTGTTCTCCCTCCAATGCTCAATATACAATTTTTTTTAATTCAATCATTCCATTAAGTTCAGCTACGTTCCATTATTATAGGCATGTCCTTTGAGGGGTGTTATGGGTGAATGTGTACACACAGAAAATTTTATTTTGCCAAGAAGAAGCAGATTTTATTGGTCCATGTCTACGCAACCCAGGAACGCTTAAAAGTTTTTTGTTTTTTTTTAAATAGACTGTCTAGCAAACCTACAGGTATATTTCACAAGAAAAAGATAGTAGAACCATAGAATCTTATAGTTGGAAGGGACCCCAAGGGTCATCTAGTCCAACCCCCTGCGATGCAGGAATCACAGCTAAAGCATCCATGACAGATGACTATCCAAAGTCTGCTTAAAAACCTCCAAGGCAGGAGAGTCCACCACCTCTCGTGGGAGTCTGTTCCACTGCCGAAGAAGCTCTTACTGTCAGAAAGTTTTTCCAAATGTTTAGTCGGAATCTCCTTTCTTGAAACCTGATATTCTCAGAGGACTACATATGGCAAATTGGAAGCACAGATTACCCTTTGAGCTCAAAGCCAACAGTCTGGGTGGGTTTTTGCAAGTAGAGGGTCAGAGTGAGAAGGGATAATAAATGCATTCCTTTAAAAATGTGTTTATCGTCTTTTTAACCCAACCTTCCTCCAAAGACCTGAGAGTGGGCTACATAACCACACAACCCCTCTATTTTAGAACAATCCTGTGAGGTGCATTAAGGTTAGATCAGGCATAGGCAAACTCTGGCCCTCCAGATGTTTGGGACTACAATTCCCATCACCCCTGACCACCGGTCCTGTTAGCTAGGGATGATGGGAATTGTCGTCCCAAACATCTGGAGAGCCGGAGTTTGCCTATGGGTTTGCCTGGGTTAGAGGTAGCAAGTGACCCAACGTCATCCACTGAGAGCTTCATTGCTGAATCGGGATTTGAATTGTGGACAGTATTTCCTACTCAGATTAGATCCATTGAAGTTGGTCACAACTACTATATTCGTTTCATTTTTTTATATAATATTTTTAATTAATTTTTAGCATACAAAAATTTTAAAGACATACCACACAAATTATTATACATATGTCCTTGTTTGGACTTCCTTCAGCATCTCTGATAGCCTTCCGTCTTGATTATTTCTCCTGCAATTCTTAACTTAATATTGCCTTTACATTTTCAAGCAAATCATTTCTCCCTTTCCATTTTTACAATATTTCTTAAATTACTCCTCACAGAACTTCTTGTAGTTCACCATATTCGTTTCAATGGGTCTTCTGTGAACACGACTTAGCTGAATACAGTTCTGAGTCTCCCTCACTTTCACCATTGGCCTCTGGCAGCCAGATGTCCATTGGATGCATATCTGGTGCATTATAACACATCATGAAGATGAGTGCGTTATAATAAGTACAGCACAAGCCAAAATCTAGAATTAAATTAACCTGAGATGGATAATGTATTAGATTTGCTTAACATGCAGCTGAACAAACAGGGATCTCACTGTGGCCTTTTATTTATTTATTTTTTTTTTTAAAGCAATTTATTGGATTTTACAATAGGAATAAATGTAATAAACAATATAACATTCGTCTTAACATAATTTCACATTTTCTTTGGACTTCCTCACATCTCCCGCTCCCACCTTCATCATTATAACATTTTGTCAGCAATTTATCATCTTATTTAAATTCTTATATCTCTTCGATATTTCATAATCTTATAGTTCTCATAAAGAGTTAAACTTTCACAGTTTTTCTTATTTTCTTAAAAACTTCTAAGTTAAGTGGTGCTCAGTTATTTAGTCTAGCATCTTATTCAGCATTCAGTCAAATCACAATGTTTTTGTAGGTAGTTCTTAAATTTCTTCCAATCCTCCTCGATTCTCTCTTCTCCCAGGTCACGGATTCTGCCAGTCATTTCAGCCAGTTGCATATAGTCTATCAGTTGCATCTGCCATTCTTCCAGTGTGGGTAGATCTTGAGTTTTCCAATGCTCACTGTGGCCTTTTAAAAAAGGAATTTGTTAGTATGACTCTGATAAGAACACAGTGTGGTATTTAGTGTTCCAAATATATTTTGATTGTGTGACTTTTTGTTAAATTTATGAGAGGCATTTATCACACAGAGAGCACTCAGCAATGTACAATCCAGAGATACTCAACCACCTCTCTTTAGCTTGAGTAAAGTTGCCTAGATAGAACACTTCTAGAATCACCTCTGGCCTTTCCCTTCCCTTTTTCTTCCTTCTTGCCTTGTTACACAAAAATAGGGGTATATAGAAAAGATCTTCCACAGCATGAGAGATCAAAAAACAAACAGTGCTGTAAAATCATTCAACAATTCTTGGCAAGAATCCCTAAAGGTAGGTGTAAAATACTAGCAGAGTACTATGAGGCAGAGGTCATCGTAAGGGAGTCACAGCCAATTTCAAACCCTTTCTGTTTCCAAAAAAAACCCCACATTGATACACACTCAAACGTATTGTTATGCTACAGATCTGGAGGTTCAGTATTGTGGAATACCTGAGAAGAAAATGGTGAAAGTTGTGAGGTTGAGATGCTCTGAAGGTTGGCACTACCTGAAGATCCAACAGAGTTCCAAAGAACATAAAACATCTGTCAGAGATGAACAGCGGGAACAATATCTGAGCAGAGCCACGAGGGGGAAGGCAAATTCCTTTTTCAGGTGCTTTTTTTAGTTCTGTGAAAAACAAGGACCAAAAGCCGTGTGAATCAAAGCTTCATAAGCAAACCCCGAAGAGATGGCATGCTTCAATATTAGTTAGGAATGAGAATTTTGTATTTCCCCACCATATTTCAAAAGTATAGCTATTCTTCTTCTTCTTCAGTTATTATTAAATGCATGTCCATGGTGCTTCATGAAGAACAAAAGGGAAGTTTCTGAGAAGCATATGTAAACCTCTTAGAGGTTTTTAGTGATTAAGCAGTATATAAATCAATTAAATAAAATCTAAAGTTCAATATGGGGAGACTGTGGGGCGAGAGGAGTTCAGTTATACTTGCCTTGGCTTAGTCACAGTAGGGCATGTTAATTTATCCACCTTTTCCCTCTTCACCCAATGCAGTGATGGAGAGTAATAAATATTTTGAAGAAACATTCTCTACAGCCTCATTTTATTCTCACGGCAAAGTCTCAGGAGGTCAGGGTTGACAGACTCTAGCAATGGTACCCAAGCACTTACTCTGTGTGTTGCCATGGAAACATCCCAGAGGAAGGAGTAACCTGTAGTCTGTGATGCTCTGGCACCAGCGCTGGAGACTGTGGGAGTGTGACGGGGCATTGCAGCTATAAGCTCAGCAGGGGCCAAGTGGCGTAAGTGACCAGTAGGACTTCATTTGGTCCTGTCACAGAAACTTGTCACTCAGGCATAGAGCAAGCTCTCCATCTGCCCATGATTACCTGCTTATGGGCTCATCTCAAGACCACCAACCCTGGCCAGAAAGTTCTTCCAAGCCATAGGTTTAAAATAAATAGGAAGTCTAATGTGGCAAGCATGTGCATCATTTTTGGAGGGAACATTGCTTGTAGCTATTTTAGCAAAGTGACCCACTTTCCATCCTCTTATAGTGAGTAATCAATGCTAACTGTGATCCTAAGGCTGGGGGTGGGGAGTTATCTGCCTCACATAGAGGGTTGGACCTGGGAATACAGCGCAATCTAAACCATGTTTACTCAGACGTTAGCCCTATAGAATTCAATGGGGCTTACTCCCAGGTAAGTGGGGCTAGGAGTGCATCCTTAGGCTTCATTCAGACCATGCTTTATTCCATGTGCACATTTCCTTACCTGATATTTTCCACATTTTACATTATCTCTCACATGGCATAAAAGCCACTTGTGGAAAAACAAGCAAAATCTAGTGAAAGTTTTGGTGCTCGTTTTTGTAATTTGCTTCCAGATTTATTTATTTTTTGGCAAGCATGTTAACCCCCAAAAAACGTGTTCATCATTGCATCGTAATGATGAAATATTGGACAGCATTTCGGCATAAAATTATTTCCTGCCTTTGGAAATTGATCAGAAAGCCACGTTTCCATAACACAACAGGTAACACAGTAGAAAGGGAATGTTTTATTAAGTGTTAGCATTATAATTAGGAAAACTAATGCACAAATCCCCACATCTCAATGCACCCTTAGTCATGTTTAGAAGAGAGCAGTTGAAATCAACATGACTTAAGTTAGTCTGAAAGCATGTGACCATCACCTTGATGAAGCTAAGCAGATCTGGAACTGGTCAGTTGCCTGGATCATCGGCTGCCTGAGAAATACATGAATGGCACCTTCAGTTCTGTGATGGAAGAGAGGCAGAATGTAAACATAAGAAAATAAATGAAATGAGTTCCATGAGCTAAAATCACACCTTTGAGTTAATGACACTTGTAGCATTGATTATGCCCACCCTATGTGGCATAGGGTCCATTTGAGAAATGCAAATTTGTTAGTACACAATTGTGTTTAAAGGAGTCAATGTGTGCTCTCTGTCTGTGTGTGTACGTACAATATATATGTGTGTGTATGTATGTATGTTTGTATGTATGTGTGTACATGAGTATAAATTGTACATGCATATCTGTGTGTAAATGTAGGTCACTCTGAAGTATCTCTTGCTGTAGCAGTTTATAACCTCCCACTGCTTTGGTCTGGCATATGTCTCTAGTAATAGGTAGTCTTTGACTGCGGCAAGCTTTTGTGTCCTTTCAGTGTGCTCCTCCTTTGAAGTCAAAGAGTTCATTTTGTTTGAAGCATTTGACTCTGGGCACTGTGCAACTCAATTTCACAGTTTGCTTATTACACGTTCCTGCCAATCATATTAAGATTGCATATTACAGAGTTACGGTTTCAAAAGGTTAGGCACATGCTCTTTAATACTTTGTGCAATTCTGCTGTCACACTTTCTCCTTTGATTCCCCCGCCCTACATCTAAGCTAAAGGAACAGCTTGCCTCCTTGTCTTGAGAAGGCTTCCTTCGTATAAGCAGGAAAAAGAAACCACAAGGAGAGCCTGGGTGTTGAAACACTCAACATTAACTACTGTAGATGTGATTATGCACAAATCCATCAGTGCAGTATTATATGTCAGATGAGTGAAAGAAACCAACATCATTTGTATAAACTACAAATTATCAGGGCTGCCTTCTTGGAAGGATTCTAGAAAGTTTAAAGAGAACATTGTAGCATGTAATTGTAAGTTAAGAGCACTGAGGGGTCTGCCCAGGAAAAGTCTCCAAGTTCAGATAGAGAGGTCTGGATGGGCGCAAGTGTGATCAAAAGGGAATAGCAACCAATCATGGGTTCCTAGGCCTATCTGTTTGGTACTTAAATTTTCAGAGAGGTTTGTCACACTCAGGGATTCATCCCTGGGGTGAAACAAATTTGGAAAAGGGCTGCTTTATTACACAGTTGAATATGCTAGCATGGGAGCCACAGGCTAGGATCTGTTATAGCAGCCCATAGCAATATTATGGAGGGACTGAGGGAATATTATTACCAGGAGAATTCTGTTCCAGGGTTTCCTGGTCTTTGCAGCTGTCAGTTTCCTCTTTTTTTAGTTCAGAGACACAAGCAAGACATTTGGGAACCATGGATAATCAGTGTGTGGTGGGGGTGGGGGAGAGATATCATGCCCACCATCTCTGCTCCACAGCGGGTGGCGCTGTGGTCTAAAACACTGAGCCTCTTGGGCTTGCCGATCAGAAGGTCGGCGGTTTGAATCTTTGTGATGGTGTTGAGCTCCCATTGCTCTGTCCCAGCTTCTGCCAACCTAGCAGTTCAAAAGCACACCAGTGCAAGTAGATAAACAGGTACCATGGCAGCAGGAAGGTAAACAGCATTTCCGTGTGCTCTGGCTTCCGTCTTGGTGTTCCATTGTGCCAGAAGTGGTTTAGTCATGCTGGCCACATGACCTGGAAAGCTGCCTATGGACAAACACCAGCTCCCTCAGCCTGAGTGACGCACCCCATAGTCACGTTTGACTGGACTTAAGCGCCCAGGGGTCCTTTACCTTTTTTTTTACCTTACTCCCACCTTACCTGCATTGATTCAAAAGACTTAAAATAATCACAGTGTGTACACATTGTATGTGTACAAACTCTGTTGGGATCTTTGGATTGACTCACAGAGGCCAGGAGTGTAGAAAATGGCCACCTTCCTGTTTCTCCATCACTGATTTTATGTGATTCCTGAATGTCTTAGTAGGGCTTCAGTCAAGTGCAGATTCATTCCATCTTTACTAACCAGGAAGACACATTAAGTGGCTTTCTATCGACTTGGTAAATGGGTAGAGCTCATCCCCGATGCAAAGTTTTGTATCAGCTTTCTGTTCTTGAAATGCAAAATACATTCATAGAAACAATGCAATATATAATTATCCAGTCATTTAGCTGAGGATTTCTATTATTACACTTTGGTGCCCAAATACAATAGACTCTTCATTTCTGGCATGGGGATTGCATAAAGCCAATGACGTTAAGTTCAAAACACATCCATACATCCCTTTTGGATTCTAAAGTACTCAGCATGCTTCTGACAAGGTAATCCTTAAAAAGATGTTCTTGTCTTGAGTTAGGAACAGCATGACTTACCTCAAGGTATACTTTGATGAGAGTAGCCTGCACCATGCAGTGTTACTCCCCATGGACTTTGCAAGGTGTCCTAATATGATAGTACTAAGAGTGTTTTGAAGTTTGGTCGTTAACACTTTAGTGGTTTCATTCTCATAAGGCCTCTTGAGCTTGGCTCAAAACAGAATGTTTTGGTCAAAGTCACAAACTCCTCTTTCGACTACAGTCATGGACTGCAACCCTATACATACTTGTTTGGGAGCAATTTCCACTGAAGTCAACGGTGCTTCATTCCAAATGGACATCTATAGGATTGCTCTGTTGGTGACCTTAACTTTGTTGCATTGTGGCTCTCCTTGCCTGCACTAATCTCCTCTGATCCCATTACAGTATAATGATGGAGTGAGTTAGTTTCAGCTTGAACACTCAGACAGTCATTGTGCTTTGGATATCGTATCTCAGATACTTACCTCTCTTTTCACATGTCTCAAAATATGGAATGCTAGAATATGATAGAATCACTCACTCCCTGTTTAATGAGTTTTGTCTCCTCATATTTCCAACAGTGTCAAGGAAGTGAAAAAGTTTGAATGATTCAAACAAAAAGTCCTAATGGCATCCTTAACTGGACCCCAAAATCTGCCATATGAAATGGTTTGACTCAGGCCCCACATAATGTTCAAATCATGCCTAAAGAGAAAATGATTATATACGATAGAGCAGGGAAAATGTGTCGTCGTCGTCCCCGCCATCAAATGTACATTTACATTTCTCAAAGCTGTTTTCTTGCAACTTCACTTGGCTAAAGTTCTTTGGTTCTGCCTCTAAAATATTTATCATATGAATCCCCTTCAGCCAGCACACTCAGCTCCTGATTGTTCGGGGCAATTGTGTGCCAAATCCCAGAGGGAACAGACACCTGGAACGAAGGACACAATGCAATAAATAACCTTCTTCTATGAGGACAAGGTATTTATGTAGAAGGTGGTGGAAGAGTGAAAGCACCCATATTTGCAAAGTTAATTTGTTCTATCAAAACAACAGAGGGTTTCGTCTTTGTGTTCTAATAATTCAGGTACCTTTTTCAAGACAAAAAAAAATCACACCTAAAAAACAAAATTGTGGTTACTGCCTTCAAATGGAAGTCCTATTAAGTCATTCACCTGAATGCATGCAGGCTAAACGTGTAGAGGAAGAAGGTTGAAAGGGAGAATCTCAGGCCAAATTCACACCATACATTTAAAGTGCTATGGTGCCACTTCAAATTATCATGCTCACCACCCAAATAATCATGGGAGCTGCAATTTATTAAGGGTCCTGAGAGTTATTAGGAGGCCTCTAGTCCCCTCCCAGAGCTACAGTTCTCTGAGTTCCCCATAAAGAGGGATTGGTGGTTAAACTGCTCTGGGACCAGGCAAAGTGTATTTCTAGGTAGGATATGCTAATGACAGGAGAAATGGGGGAGCAAGTGGGGGTTAAGATTCTTGTTTTGTGGGGTTCTTGCTTCCCTCCTGCACTGCCTCTGAAGGCATGCAAGGGGAAGAGAGGAGGGAAGTTTCATTGCATGTGCAGAAGTCGTTACATTTGCACAGTGATTTAGCTA